GGGAGTTGAAGTCCACTCATCTTAAAGTGGCCAAGTTTGGACAACACTGATCTATGCGGTCTCTAGGAGTTGAAAAAAAGTTGATGGCACATAATCAACTAATCAAACCATTTTCAGGGTCTTTATTTTTCTTTAAAATTTAAACTATGGAAAGCAAACATATTCTATTCAATCACGGACATGCAACCTCTGGCTCACCAGGTGTTCCTGATCTAGAACTCCCGGCAGCCTCAGCCAGCACAGGGGCTGGTGGGAAATTGTATTTCAACATCTGGAGAAGCACAAGCTGTCCACCTCTTTACTGTGTCCCCTTAACACGCTTACAGGGTAGATCACATCAGGAAACGGACTCCATGGAGGCCCAGAACGCAACAATGTCTGAATACTGGCTTCAAAGCCGTCTCCCTGGCTCTCTAGAGCAACTTACCTACATGTCCAATGAACACCACATTTACGTGTTCCTTCTTGGGAGCACCTGGGGGAGCCACCATGGATTTGGGTTTTGGCATCTCCTCCTCTTCCTCCATCATTTCCTGGGTGCCCTCTTCAATGGGCCCTGCATCACCAGAAGGGCCACTTGCTAATTCGGGTTCAATGATTTCTTCTTTGTGGTCCCACGATTCCTCAGGGGACATTTCTGTTTCTCCATTTTCTACTAGGATTTAATAAATAGTTACTTGAACGAGAGGACTGCTTTTCAATTGCTTTCCTGGGAAGGGGCGGGGGGAGAGAGGAGAAGGCTTAGCAAGACAACAAAGCCGTTGCCTGTTTAAGTTCCAATCTTTATTTATTTTCCTCTGCCCCACTGACTGAGTTTTGGGGTGCATATGTAAAACTTCATTTTCATAGAACCCACTTGGAGCTGATTGTGATACAAATGCTTTTAAGTAAGTAAGTAAATAATATAAAGCAAGCTACTATTCATAAGATTTGGCTATTTTAACACAGAAGTCTTTTCAACTACAGTGCCAGGAATGCCGAAAACCACCACCAGACCATAAAGTTTTAGAAGAGTAAACAGTACACTGGAATTCACTAATGAAACTGTTTATGAGAGCTAGTGAATGCTAGTCATCTTTCCTTTCTCCTAGGGGGAAAATTATTTATTTTCCTATGAAAACCTAAAGTACTGTATGCATCAATTTAGGAACTGAAAGCAAGCTACCATCACAGTCTTTCTTGATGGATTAGATGACAGCTTCCATAATGGTTAGCTAAAGGACACCAAGCTGGAAAAGGTTGACAAGGGGGAGGGTCATTTGTCATTCTCTGGCTCAAAACAGCTTTATTAAAGGAGTGCAAATGCAGTACTAGATCTCACCCAAAGGTAAGGAAAGGTAAGGACTTGGGGATGTCCTTATCTCAGAACTGCTTTCTCCACATGACTCCTGAAATTATTGATCTTCTTCTCTGTCTCTGCCACGCACATGTCCATGAATAGTCACCCCTAAGCATTGTTTCTCTGGAACAGGAAAAAACTTGTACTGTTCGTATTGCTAAAAGGAATCTTTGCTGATCTACCGCAAATCATCTGGGACCATCACTAACCAGTGAGCTACCTATTGTTCTAGAAGAACTGCAAATGCAATCAACTTTGAGCACCCAAGCTTTCCAAATTTGTGTAGCAGTTCCATGAACTACACTGGATCATAACAAGAGACCAATTAGGAAGCACTTCAAGATTGCAAGGCAAAGGGGCCATTTCAAACTATGCTATATGGTTTCTTACCAACTGGTTCTGAGATTTCCATACCAATGGCAATGTTTGACCCTAGAAGAACAGAAAGAAGTATGTTAAAGAAGTAGCATGACCTCAGTTGCCCCAGTTCACATTCTTTTTGAGCATTTGATTAATTGTGTAAAGGTTTCACAAATTTGTTTCCCAATCCCAACAGCTTGGCTTTAGATTTGTCACCAAAAAAGGAAAATGTATTACCTTCACAAGATGGCAGATCTTCTTGGGATGATTCTGCTGATGCCCCTTAAAAAAATATCCAACACTGAAATAAGTATTTGGTATAACTCTGGTGCAAGTTCAAGAACCAAAGTAGCTACTGTTCAGAAGGAAAGGCTAAACTGGTTTGCTCTTCTCCTATTCTTTGAATACTTAGGATTCTGAATTCAGATGCAAATTCAGTCCACACAATGCATTAAGATAAAACCAACCAAGCTATCTTATGACGTGGAGGAGGAATAAGGAATAAACAGAATATAGCATGGAGCCTGGCTTTCTCGATGTTGCTGAACAATACCTTCCAGAATTCTTCATGATTGGCTATGCTGGTTAGGGCTGCAGGGAATTGCCGCTCAGCAACATCTGAAGGGCCACCAGTTCCCCAAGTTGGTTCAAAGCATGAAATGAAACATATCCAACCTCCCCCTTGTGCATGTATTTGAGCAGGGAAAAGAACAAGAACAAGCTTCACCACTGCTCACTGAAGTATAAATAATAATGGTCTGTTGTTTCCTTTGTGGCCAATTTATTTGCAGCGTGGCATGCAAAAACCTATCCAATTGACCTACATCAGTGTGTGAACCAGACGCAAGACACTGATGCTAGCAATTTTGTCCAAAGCTGTCTTCCCATTATAGTTCTGTCAGACAAAATGCTCTAGAATTTTGTTTCCTACCAAAAATAGAAAATATTTCTACAATCCTACTGTTCCATTTTCTAAGAGGACCATTATGCAAAGCTGTCAAGGCTGAACAAATCCAAATCAAAACCTTCACATCTTAAAAGCTACCGAGCTTCACGAAGTCTGGATCCAAACTGTGGTCTAGTTCCAGTTAAAGAAAAATTAAATTCAGTACAGATCTTAACAATTATTAGTCATGCTTTCAGGAACATCCAATCCCAACAAGTAATGTTTTCAGAGATTTAACTTTTTAAAACTACCAAGGTGGGAGAATTATGACCTCATATTCTTTTGGAAGAGCAGAATAATAAAAGCTATACCAACACCAGTGAAAGGGAAAAAGCGTCTAATGACATATTAGAAGCTGCCGTGCTCTCAATAGTTCTCCATAGTTCTGTTGAAGCATCAATGTGCACTTTGTTTGTGACTATTGCACAACCTGGCTGCAATAAATATTTAAACCTGCAGGACTTTTCCATTCTCTTTGCAAAGGAAATTTTACCACAAACACTGGACAACATCCTACCAGGCTTGTAAAAACACATTTGCTTGGTTGCTCCTTATAAATAAGATCAGCAAACAGGCAAGAAAGCTTCAGTAAATTGGGGTTTATTCTCGTTCCCCATTTTCAGACCATCCAAGCATAATATTTCTATTTGCTTTGGGAATTTAATTAAAAGACACATATATTCTATATAAATACATTAAGACTTGCTGGACTAAAACGCAGGGAGATCCAGGTTCAAAACACCACTCCAACATGATGCTCATTGGGTCACACACCATTTCTCAGCCGAACCCAGCTCACAGGCTTATTGTGAGGATAAAACAGGGGTCAAAGCACACCACCCTCAGCGTTTATATCAATGCAATAAACAAATGATAATAAAATGTTCAAATGAACCAACATCAGTTTTATCATGGAAATATAAGCCCCATCTGAGGAACACTTGTCAGAAGACCGGTGAGATTAAATTCAATTTCTATAGATTCTGATGCTGGAACATGGAAATTTAGATCAAACTGCTGAGCAATATTACTTTAGAGGTTAATTTGGTGCCAACTATATCACTTGTGTGTGGCTTTAAAAAAGTTGTGGAACTTGTTATTAAAACTCAAGTGAGAATTTGATGTTCCAGATTGGATCCCAAGATGTTCAAGTCCAGATGGAAGATCTCTATTTTTCCTGGAGAAGGGAAGTCCTGGTTATTTTGATGACTGGTTGGCCAGATTGTAAAAAAAACCATTCTGATTTTTAGGCAGGTTACTCTTTCTCAGCCCTAAGAAAAAGCCTTCTAAAAATGTTGCCAAGAAAACTGCAGGAAATTATTCATGTAACTGCCAGGAATTAAGACTGACTTGAAGGCCAAAAAAAAAAAAAAGCAAAAACATAACCCCCAAACCTTATATTTTGCCAAAACAGGTTAGTGAAGGTTTTTGAAAAAAAGCATGTAACAACAGCCCAGACTGAAATAGTTTTTTAAAGTCAAGATTAAAGTCAATTAAGCCAGAAATAAAAATTTAGAGGCATCGGGTGCCATTTGGCCAGTGGTAACAAACCAAGGAAGTAGAGAAGTTACAGGATAGAATATTTCATTGTCAACACTTAAATGCCAAATGATAAAAGCTATAGTTTACTGCTGGGTTAATGTCCACAGGTATTGGAACTTTCCCTAATCACAAATGCATCATATCTGTTTATTGGTTCTTAAAGAGTAAAAGCCTCTTCATCCAGCTAGATAAATATTCACTTTAGATAATACAGATTCTGATACAAAAAAACTTGTTCAAATGAAAGCTGTTTACTATTTGCAAAATGTTGCTCCAAGCATTTAGTCTTCAAAAAAAATACTGGTCCAATGTGAATTCTATAGCTACAGTTCTGCAGTCGTACTAATGCCCTTTAGTTTATTTCCAACCATTTTTATCAAAAGTTTCAGAAGCCAAAATACTGAACACTAAAAAAATCAAAGAGCTGTACCTGCTAGAACTCCTTTTAAGTTGCTAAATCTTTAGTAAAACAATAAACAATAATTAAAACAATCATCTTCTGATAACAAGGGGCAGAAAGTGGAATTGCTTAATTCCAACATAGAGGCAGGGTGGAAAGAAAAAACTGCTGTGTTCAAAGTAACAGAATTACAACCACTGGTTAAGCCAGAATGCCTTGTTCTATCCAGATGGATGGAAAAACCATCCAACCAACAAACCTCAAAACTTTCTCCCATTTATTTATTTTCATTCCACTCCCTCAGTGGGGAAGTCAAAGAAGATCCTCAGAAAAAATTACAAGGGAATCTGATAGGTTGCCCTTTAGGTATGATGTCCCCAAGCGGTTGCCGCCTCAAAGAATCAAAATCAGCACTTTTGATTGGTCTTGGGACTTGATAAAATACTCATTTGACCCAGTCTCAGGAGTCCTGTGCTGATAATCTGAACTAAAATTCCTGATTCCAGAAGGCTGTCCCACAGTGAAGCCATCCAGATGCAAGGGGATCTGATATGGTTAAGGGCATCAAATCTCTATCTCCAGATATGACCATAGCTGGTGCATCACTTACACTTTCAGAAGAAGCTCTAGATCTCAGGCACTGTTTATGTCCTTAACAGGAAAGAATGCTCTCTGGGACGGATGGAGAACCTGGGTCCCCAGGGCCACATGCAGTCCTCCAGAGCCCCCTCTATCCAAATCTGCCAAAGATCAGTTGAACAACTGTCAACCATCTTGAAGTGGGAAATGCAAAGCTGTAGCATAAAACAGGATTGCTGTTGTGTAAAAAAAAAGGGAAGAAACAACTTCCTAAAAGCCAGAGGGGACCCTTCCCCCAAGTTCCACACAGAGAGCTTTGAACCAGTGTAGCTGCTGCCTTCAAAGATATTCTGGGACCCCTGGTAACCTCCACTTCTGCAGGCATATGAAGTTTTCAGTAAGAGCCTGGAAGAAGACACAACCCACAATTGGCTGTGTCCGCATAGAGAGACCCTCTCTTAATTTTAGGAGTCATTACTCCGTAGCTCTTTGCAAAAGTTACATTATTCCCAAGCAACTTCTCCTACCTGCCTTTTTCTCAGAAGGCAGAAGTTAAAACAGTTTACCCTGGGCTATGTTATTGATGATCCCTGCCATACGTTGGGAGAGACTAAAGCAAGCGTCACCAAAAACACAGACGCACACAGAAAAGTGAACTGAGCAGAAAAACAGGAACCACCTTCTCTGTGATGATTAAATAAAGTCCAAGGTAAATCTAAGCATTTAATGAAGTCCAATTATAGTCACTGTACTTTCGTTACAGGAGGAGAGCCGTGTTGTTATGGTGGCAAAAAATCAGGAGTCAGCAGCATCTTTTCCGACTAACGTATTAAAAGGCACAAGCTTTTGTGAGCTACACCTCATGCATCTGATCAAATGAGCTGCAGCTCGCAAAAGCTTATGCTTTTAACAAAATTCGTTAGCTGGAAAAACTGCTAGCAGACACCTGATTTTTTGCCCTTTCTTTGGTTTCAATCACATCTGCAATCTTCAGATGAATATCTACATACAATACATGTTACAATTTGTCAGCAACTTACTGACACTGAATAGGCGAAAAAATGCTTATTTAAGCAGATGTGACTGCAGAAAATATAAACATTCTGACTTGTGATGAACTTCTGGCTGTCTGAGGCTCTTCTCCCATCTTTCATTAAAGATGAAAAGAAAAAATCCCATCCTCTCCACTCTGCAAGTTGAGTGGTACCGAGTCCCAATCTATTAAGGGCTAAGCATGTGGTTCCATACCCCTATCAGAGGTACAGCCTGGGTGTCTGTGTGCTGGTTGATGATATGCAGTTCACACACCATCAGGAGTAATTCAGTCAGTAACAAAACCAGTATCTTGTGCTCAACATGGAATAAAAGAGATGTGAGACCTGCTGCTACCCTGAGATTGCAGTACTTATGCTTGCAAATTTTGCAGTGCAGAACAGATGGCACTTACCTTTCTTTGGACACACTTTGATCATTGCTTTTCACCTATCAGTTAGCAAAATAGGATTAAAAAGAAACCCACCCAGGACTTATCTACACCTACAGCTTCATCCTAGGTTTTACTTAACCCTGAGAATTATGCACACAGGAATGACTAAATCAAACATTTTTTTACTATCCTCACACTTGGCTGAGGTGCGTGAAATGTTTCATGCATGGAATTTCATGAAACATTCGAGTGCAAAATGGGGAGAAAGAAGCTGCTGCTTTGTGTGTTCGAGAAACATTTTTAGTCTGTAATGGAGTATTTCAATCTGGAATACTTTTGCTTCAAACTCAGAAAGTTTGCAAAATCTAAAACAATGGTTTCATATTAAAAA